CCCATGAGAAACACACGAAGCCATGAGAAACACACGAAGAAGAACGATTGTGAGGGAGGGAGGGAAGAGAAAGATGACGAGGAGATGCATTTATCTACCACATCACAAGCATGAAATATCATCACATGTCAATTGTCTATGACTCCCATATCATATAAATAGAAATCCAATATTTTTGTTTCTTGTGATGTTGGTTCACTTTATTCCCTTCCTGTTAGAGTTGATGCTTGAGATCTAGGGCCTAAACAATTTGTGACCATAGACTGCTCAGAGTTGTCCTATTTGATCTTCAAGTGCAACCCTTCCTTTGTTCTGTTGCATCTCTGAGCCATATTAGCATACATTTCTAATCACCAATGGACTACCGGATTTACTTCATGTCAGTTGTTACCATCTCTTAGAAATTCTTTCTGCATTCGTCATATAGCAATTAAATTCACTATCAGCGAAGTTCACTGCAAGTTTGTTGCACAATTTTTATTTGATAGATACACGTGAGATTATTATTTTTATTTATGTTTGTTGAATATATGAACAATACATTTGAGAACAGAGACAAAACATGACAAGAAAGGGGAAGAACTAACCTACATGGAGCTTGGTCAAGGTCGCCGCTCATGTTTGATGGCATTGTTTCTGGTTCCACCGACGTTGTTGATGCCTGTTACCTATGGCCCCGTTGCTGCTTTCCTCGGTCGGGCGTGGTCCACCAGCCACTGCGTGCAGACAATAGAATTTAGGCCAGCAATTGTCGCTGATCTACACTACAGATCGACCCATAGACAGGGAAAGGAGGCGATGGCTGGTGGGGAGAGGAGCCGGGGGACGTGTTGTGGCGGGATAAGAGGCGCAGTGGCAGGGAGAGAAGGTGGAGACTACGTCATGTGAGTTGCTGAAGTTGTGCCTTATGCGGTGGGGATAAGGGATGTGTGATGTGCTTGTGTGGTGAGAGGCAAGGAGTGGCTTTTCCTTTTTATGGGAGGTTGTTCATATTTGTCTATTCTATTTTTATATTCAAGATACATACAATTATTTATCATCATTATAATCGAGATAATAAATATTTATTTATTCCAGTAATGTGTTGAGTTATTTTGTTTTTGATTTTAATATGCTCTCATGGAATGGTAAAACATTGGTTCATCCAATTTACAAGTTGAGTACTCTATGTTTGCACGTTCTTACATTTTCATGTGGATTCTTCATGCTAACTGTATGAAGTACTCATGCAGGATGGTTACAAGTCAACGAAGATTTTTTTACTATAATTGTTTAAGTACTGTGCGAACGAAGCTGAAGACAATATTCCTGATATTGTAGGAGATGCAAGTGAAGTGGAATAATGAAAATACATTGCATCAAGTACATTTTTCGATTGTTACTGTAATTTTTTTTCTATACATGTGAAATTGGAAGTGCATTATGCTTATGTATGCAATCAGAAAAAAAATTAAAAGACCCGTGGCAACGCACGGGCATTATACTAGTATAGGTCTAATATGGTAGTATTTAGCCTCAAAATTAGCTATTTTATTCTTTCTAGCAGACAAAAAAGCCTTTTTGCCTGGCTGCGAGCCGAGCCGGGCCAGAGCTTGGGATTTCGTGGACTGGCTTTTTTAAACTCGGCCCGGTTGGGATTTTGTGGTCTAGACTCTCTCGTGTTGAGGCAAACAATGTTGGGCTGACCCATTTTAGGGCACGCAGATTGAAAAATCAGGAAGAAAAGGGGCACACCTAGAGACCCAAAGGTGAGAGCTCTTATACACCGCCCGTGTGCGTGCGATCGTTGCGGCTTCACTTAAGCGACGTGCACACGGGCAGGCCCAATCATCACACCATTAGGAAAATTCGAAAAAAGAAGAAGCACATGCGTGGGATGGAACCTGGGACCTCATGCTGGATTCCAGTGAGGCTAGCCAGGCAACCGACCTCGAACGTTATAAATGCAGTGCCAGACTTGAAGTGCAAAGTACAGTGGCAAATCCTTTTTAAGAAAACGTTCAACATTTTTATATGTACATTGATTTTTTTAAATACAATTGTTTTTTAAACTACTAATCATATTTTAAATACTGAAATGGATATTTTCTAGTATACATTGACCAATTTCTTAATATATGATGAACAAAATTTAGATACACAATGAACATTTTCTAATATATGTTGAATATTTTTATAATATACGATGAACATTTTTGTAATACACGATGAACATTTTTATAGTGCAAGCTGAACTATTTCATAATATACGATGAACATTTTCTTAAAACGATGAAGATTTTCGTAACACACAGTGAACTTTTTATATAATACACAAAATGATAAAAAGAACAGAAACGGAAAAAAAGGAAACTTAAAAGAAAGAAAATGAAAGGAAATAAGAAACCAAAACAGTAAGAAAAAAACAACTGAAACCCGGACAGAACTGTGAAAAAACGGGAAGCAAAAAAAACATGGAAGAAAAACGAAAAGATAAACCCTGCAAGAAACAAGGAAACAACAGTGAACCAAATCTGTACGTTGGCCGGCCCAAGTGGCGAATTGCTTCAGCGAAGGACCATCCTTTTGATGCCTGCGGGCGTCAAATAGTATCTGCCCCCAAAGGTCACCTACGGCGCTCTCAGCGCCGCCACATGTTTTGCTGAGGGCGCTCTTTCTGATTTTTTTTGTTTTTTCGGATGCATTTTTTGCTTTTTAGATGTTTTTTTCTTTTTTCGGTTTTCTACAGGGTGTTCTTAACATTTGAAAAAAAATATGTAACAAGAAATTTACGCGAAAAAAGACATAGATAGTGAGCATGATAAATTTGGTTACAACTACAACATATCAGTACCCGATGAAACAAATGTAGATAGAGAGGTAGGTCACAAAATAATAATGAAATGGAAGTTATGTGAGCCCGCCGGTTGTACTCCATCTCAGGTCAGACTACAATTACATAATATGGACTATTTGATATTGATACTAGATACTACTATGCCTCTACATGAACAGGAAAAACAACGTGTACAAATCTAACCAGACTTCAACAAAAAACAGTGGTACATTTCATTTCATTATTGGTTTTACATTTTACTTCGTTTCTTTGTTAATTTTCATAGGTTTATTTTTTACACATGTAAAAAAATAGTACACGTTCAACATTTTTCATATACATCAGGCACATAGTTTATACACATGTTTAACATTTTCAAATAGATGATTAAGATTTTTCAAAACTTATATTTTTTATATCTAGTTTTCTGCATAGACATTGCACATTTTTTTTCCAGATCTAAAACATCTTTTTAATATGTGTTTAACATTTTTCAGTTACATGATTAACATTTTTTGAATACATGGTCAATATTTTTAAATGCACAATGAACATTTTTTAAAGACAACAAACATTTTTCACGCACAACATACATTTTTTTCCGTAATCATCACGAACATTTCTATATACATTTTTGAAGTTTTTTCAAGTACATAAGTAAAATTGTGAAAATATATGCTTCGGTGTCTACTTTTATTTAATGTACTTTGTACATTTTTTATACAGCAGGAATATTGGTCTGATACACATCAGGAATATATTTTTGACACACTTTTCACATTTTTAAAATGCACGATCAACATTTTTTTCATACACATTGTTTTTTTGTACATGACAAACATTTCTATACACATTTAAAAAAATTTAAATTCTTGATTAAAATTTTTGAAATACATGATCAACTTTTTTCATACTGAACATATATGTTTGTTATAGATTTTTTTTGTATACATCAGAAACATATTTTCTATACACATTTAACACTTTATAAATTTTTGGTTAATATTTTTTCACTTGTTTTGTGTAAAGTGGCTTTAAATATAAATCATAGTGTATTTAAAAGCATAAACAGAAGTAAAGGAAAAAGAAATAAATAACGAAAAAAAACGTGAAAATAAAAGAAAAATGAGGCCCGGTGACTTCTTGCTCACTGGGCCGGCCCATTTAGTGACACGCCTGAGGCGAGGGCATGCTAGGTCTCGCTATAAACAAGACATTGCGCTGCCGTTAGTTGGTCGCCTCGGGTAGCAACAGTAGTGTATCTTGGCCGACCACCAACTCGATCTGAGCTCTTGCAACCAGAACGTGCCTGGGATCGTTGCACACGTGCGTGAGGGACAAACTAGGAAAACGCGAAACCACCAGGGTTAAAATGTGCGATCAGCTTCAATAGCACCTCATTCTACAGCCTCCACGCATGAGCACACTTTGTAGCAATGTGAGTGATTCTGCGTGAGCCGGGCCGGCATGCTGCGAAAGCCCAGCTGAAGATTGGGCCGGCCGGTACACGCAATACAAGGCCCAACGTGTAAGCGTATGTATCGCATCAGCAACGAGCTCCCCACTGCGTGTGCTTCATTCTCAGTCTGAACTTCTTCAGTCAAGGCAAATACCTACCTAGCTATCAGCACATGTACTAGTAGTCGCTCTTCATGAAAATCATTCCTATTGATGAACACACATTTGTTTTGATGGATGCTACTGACAGATTAAAATCGCGGGCAAAACGTTTAGCGGCAGAGAACTTTCCGGCGATGGCTAATGAAGGAATGGAGCGATCTCGTGTGATAGCGGCATTATCTCCCGCGATTTGTACTACTGGAAAATCGCTGGAAGATTTCTCAGCCGCGATTAGCGGGAGATCGCGGCCAAATAGCGGGCAATTTAAATCTATGATGCTACTCCACATGGGAGCATGGAGAGCACAGAGAACTCTGCACCCACTGCATATATATGTCCAAGTCTTCACAAGGCAAGCTATCTCTTATTACAAGCCAACAAAAGAAAAAGAGATTCAAGCAAAAACGTCCAAGTCTGGCTGCTGTTGCTCTGCCTAGAAGAATAAACAAAATAAATTCAATAGCTTGCCATTGCCATTGCCACTGCCTAGCATCGGCACTTGAGAAAAGAAAACGAACTTCTAAAGCATCAGGACAAATAAATATAGTGGTGTGTGACACCACAATCACCGGCCATCGGAGTAGAACATGCTCGGGTACACCCACAAGGCCATGGCTGTGGGCACAAACCTCTTACGCCAGTTGAAGTTGGGATGGCTGGTTGGAGCAAGGTCCACATGGCCGCATAGCTCATGCACGCTCCAAGGCTGAGAGTGATGGGCGTAGTACAAGTTGTTGCTCGTCCCTCCCCATCGCTCAGGGCGCACACAAGCAAATGGAGGGCTCCGCTCATCTCCCCCGACGAAGATCGCCCAGTTGTCCAACGTCTTCACCTTCACCCACTTCGCGGGCTCGGTTGACATGTCGAGGCGGTGGCACACAGGATCTACGGACGATAGGTGCACAAAGTGGTCGACCATGAGGAGATCGTCGCCGCAGACCACAAGCCATGCCTGCACAAAAGATTCTGGCTCTATCTCGCTGCACCACTCAGTTGGTATCTCCCGCAGGCCTAACCGAGGGGCCAACCGCAGAGTATAGATTCTCATATCGTGGTCCATGGCGATGAACTGACTGTTGAACTGCACGATCTGAAATATCCATCCATGAGGAAGTTGGAGTTCCTGCCAAGAGTCACTTCCGAGGGGCCAATCAAACAGGGAGGATTGAGTGCTTACAAGGAGATGTGAGTTGGGAGATGTAAGTGGAGCGGTGAGAGTGCCACCATAGTAGCCATTGCTGAAAGGGAGACGTGGAGGCGAAACCATGGCCCCGGTGAACACATCGATAACAAGACAATCTCCACGGTAGCAGCAGATGAGATGGCCATGTGAAGAGCCAGCAAAGTGCATGTTCTCAAAAGTTTCTTGAGGAATCTGGCAGCGAAGGGTGCTATTGTTGCTAGCTACATCAATGACTTTACGTATGCGTAGCATGTATCGAGAATTCTCAGGAACAGAAGAACATTTTTCAGAAAAAATGGAAGGAAGTGAAGAACCTTGGTTAGGACCAGCAGGTCGGATAAGAAGAGGTGGGATTAATGTGCATAAGTTAGATGCAGTTCGGTAGGAGAAGAATGCTGCACGCCAAGAGTGGCAGGTTGCAGCAAAGGCAAGAATGTCAATGGAGGATCCCAACAGAGCAACAATGGAGTAAAGCGGGCCATCCGGAAGATCGGCCCAACCTTGTAATCCAGACACAACAAGGCTAATTGAAGTAGAAACTACTGACAATCTGCTGGGGCTCTGCATGATGGGAATTTGTCTGCATCACATAGCAAATTCAGGGCCTAATATCAGAACCGAAGAACAATTTCAAGGATATGATAAAATAAACAGACATATAGCATGCAAGAACAATGGATATTTCCTCAGGGTCCTAAAATACGCCTATGCATGAAGAAACTTGTTATACACTAGAAAATAAGAAATTTGACACGACTACACTCTTGTGGGGTGTCATGTTCAGACCGTCCATCAGTTAATAAGAGCATGCAAGAAAAATAACCTGTACTGTCTAGCAAACGTCTCACAACAGTAAACACTTTTAACGAATCCCATCATTATGTTTACAAGAACATGAGGCTAAAAGAGCCGTGAGACGGATATGTTGATGATATGTTAATAAGATCATTTCATGGAGCGCCAATTTCTGAGGAAAATCAAAGCGTAACCGGATCAGTCCATTCTAATTCAGGCCACCAAAAGATCCAGCGCGAGCCGAGTTCTAGATGATTCGTAGGCATATGCATGAGCATGACCCCATACAGATGAAACAAGGGAAATGCGTACGGGAGAGAACGAGCACAACTCAGACCTTGCGGATCAGGTTGGGAGGGGGAGGCGGTGGGGGTGGGCTCTCGACGGCGTCTTCGATCTCCGGCGTTGTGGCGCTGTGGCTCGATCGCTTCCAGAAACCGCCCGGCCGCTTCGCCTGGAAGCGAAACGGGCTGTTCTCTCTCTCAGACTCTCGTTACTTATTATAAGGCTTTCCGTTGTGGGCCGACTTGGGTTTGCATGGGTCTGCTTGTTCTAAAGAAAAAGATACTACTGATTGTTTCCTGATCCTGAAAAAACAAACAAACTGCTAGTTTTTGCTTTTTCTTTGCGGGGAACTTTGAGACCTTTATTCAAAACAAAGTACTCATGGGACAATCAGCCATAAGGCTGGTGAATGTGATCAGGAAGGGGGGGTTCAGAGTCCAGCCAACTCTCGGTAACCATGAGCGAGCAGGCATGGTTCGCGCAAAAGATTGGCTGGAAAGTTAGCTGTCCTGCTTACATGTTGAATAATAGATGAAGTAAACGATGAAGCGAGCTCTCGAATTTCTAATTGGATACGAGCCACAACTGTTTGTGAGCCATGACGAGAGTTCCAGAGGTTCACCACCTCCGCGGAGTCTGTTCCCAAAATCACATGTGAGTAACCCCCAATTATGCGAAGATAACTCCGGCCCAGGGGTGAGGTTTGCATCATGCAACTCCCAAAGCCATTGGCGAGCGAGCGACACCTCTGACAGCAGCCAACCCAGCTTCAAAATTAAAAGCAACATCCGCGTTAATCTTAACCCAACCGTCAGCAGGTGGTCTCCAACTATAACCTGAAAGAACAGCAACTTGATCACTTGGGATATCAAGCCCCGCTAGATCCTCTCCGACTCGGCGGATAGGAAACATCGGATCAATTTGCACCTCATGGTAAGTCCATTTGTTCCTCGAATTCCCGATCACCCACTACTGTAATGTTTTACATGATCTTGATCTAAGCAGGCCCGTCGATGAGGGGGAGCGAACTGAGCGACCGCACAGTGCCCCCCAAATCGTGGGGCCCCATCGAAGGAAAAACCTGTAGATGGAAGCTTGGTTAATTGTCTCAGTTGCCGCTAAAAAGACACTAAAAGACCACTACATTTTTTGAGGGGTCTAACAAAAAACAACATAGGTGCCCCTATCTACTCGATGGCTGCATGAAGCACGGAAGGTCAAAGGCCCAAAAATAAATATCAATGCCCAACGCACCGATCGGGAGCCAGGACACGACGCAGATCCATGGATTCCGCTTCGTTGCAGTTGAACAGGCAGTCGAACTGGCGTCTGGCGATCCGCGATTAGCGAAGCCCTAGGCGAATATAGCGAGGCGCCGAAACCCTAGCATTCTTCCTCGTGCCGGCGCAGTTGCCTCCGATGATCCGATCCGTTCCCATCGGCTAATCTCTTGCTGCCGTGAGACGCAAAAGTCGCGGACCGTGGTGCCTTTCGTTGCTTCGATCAGGAACACGCCCACGCCCGGACTACCTAACGTGTTTTAATCATGACTAGAACAATGCCTGTGCGTTCCAACGAGATATAAATGTTCTAGTACGTTAGCTTGTGATTTCCTATCGATAATAATGCGATTGTGTAAATAAATGTTCTTCAAATTCTGCATGTGAATTACCTTATATTTTGATTAGAAGTTTGGTAAGTAAATTCAAGTGGAATTGGTTCAGAAGGTAAGTAAATTAAGGTGATTGATTATCATATACATGAAAGGTTGGACGAAGGGGTGGCGTGAAGAAAAGTGAAATGGAAACCTTTCATTCTTTTTATGTAGTAGAGAAGAGCAATGTCTTTTTTTTTCAGTTTATTTCTTATATTGGAATGATCTAGTCATCTAGCAATATTTGAAACTAATTATATATTGTTTGACCTTTTATAATTTTTTGGCTTTTTACCTAAATCTTCATCATGTCTATGAGAATTAGCAAAAAATATTTTGGTGCTGCAAAGCGTAAGAAGAAACAAAGGCTGGAAGTTGATGCTCAATCTAAAACAGATGTTCCTTTTTGGTAGAACATGAGGTTAGATTATTACTTTAGTACCCTTCACCTTTTTTAGCATTAGATTTGACACATGCCTAATATTGTACGAAATAAAACACACTTGAGATTATATAATGAAGTGAGATTATGTTTTACGAATAATATTTTTTCTATGATATGAGTTGCTCGAAATTTTGGACCCCATTTCGGTTTTCGCCAGGGGCCCCGAATTCCTGGAGACGGCCTTGGATCTAAGAATCGACTATCACACAATATATCCCGCACCCAAGTGTCTTTATGGAGCCTGGGTAAGCGGAAATCAAAACAGGACATGGCCTCATCCCAGAAACGCCTTGCATGGAAGCGCTCAATTTATGCATGCATGAGATCCTTCTACTCCGCCTTGCAGATGTTGCACAAGCTGATTGGCATAATATGTCGACGCTTTAAAGTTGCTTCATCAGGGAAAATACCATGAACCACTCTGCACCAGAAGACCCTAACTTTAGGTACAACTTTGAGATTTCACAAGGATTTCCACATCTATTCATTTGTCTATGAGGTTCTGCTAACCGCCCCTTCCTCGAGAGTTGCACACTCCTTTTGATTCATGAAGCACGGTTCGTTGATTTTACAGAGAAGGTACCTGGGTTTTTGAAAGCCCAAGCTAAGAATCCTCCTGGACTCCGTTCCAAGTTGGGATATTCAATATAGCATCTGCATCAGGTGGGAGGAAAGTATCACTGTCTGAATCGGGATATTCCGTCACTCCCCGCCACTAGGTCAGCTCGCCAAGTCCAATTTTCCTTGTCGATGAGTTCATTCACTATCTGAATTGGTGAGTCGGCTGGCGGAAACATAGGAGAAATACGAAGAGTAGCCGGAATCCATTTGTCATGCCAAATTGATATGGATTGTCCATTGCCAACCAGCATACATAATCCAGCTCGCAGAGCCTCCCGTCCCACAACAATGACTCGCCAAATTGGTGAGGCCGGCTGTGGCACTGGGGCATGCATAAATCCGTCTACAGGAGGTATCTCACCTTCATCATTCAAACAAACAATGATCCAAGGTTAGTCATGAACCTCCGACCATACTTTCCAAGAAGTGCCAAGCTAAATAACTCTAGATCTTGGAAGCCCATTCCAAGCTTGATCATTGGGCTCGCGAGTGATTTCCATGACACCCAATGCAAAGATCGTTTGTCTAGAGAACTGCCCCACCAATATTGTTCCATACTTGACGTGATGCCTTTACATCCTTTCTTTGTAAGCTAAAGCAACTCATACTGTATGTGCGGATTGCTTGTATCGCAGTTTTCAGCAAAGTCCCTCACCCAACACAGGCAAGATTTCTCTCTCACCACCCCCTCATAATAGTTCTCGACCTCTCTTCAATTGCCACTTGTAATTTCTCCAACTATAATAGGAAGATCAAGATATCTTTCGCTGAATGCCTCCACTGCAATATGAAGCAAATTCTTCACACTTACCCTCTGAGCTTGAGGGGTATTTGGTGTGAAATAAGCTGAACTCTTTCCTCTGTTAACCATCTGGACCGAACGCGTAATTTTTCATAATGATCACCCTATTACGGATGAGGTTCGGACAACCCCAAAGCACAACATTCGGTATTGAGTGATTTGATACTCGCATGGTCTAAGGAATCATACATATGTTAACTCCCATGTTATAAACTATAGACTTCAGATGATATAATCTCTAAGTATAACATACAACTTGGGTCTTCAACAGGAATGTTCTACCAACATCATGTTGCGTTCTCTAATCCAGCTCAACCATAGTCCAAGGCTCAGGGGAGTCATAGTGAGAGCATGAAATGTATACACAGTTACTCTTTCTACCCATCTTTTAGCGTTCTTGAAAGCAAAGGTAGGGCTCCTTGTGTCAGTGCCAACAAAGAGAGCCTACTCCAATTTCTCCACCTTCACCAACATGGCTAGCTCAATTGACAAATTGACTTGGAAGGCCTCAAAGGTAACCAACTTGTAGCTTACAGAGAATTTGATCATCCACCACACACAACCAACCATGTACTACAGTGGATGCCAGGAGGTTATTTGCAGATCTATGCCCATGAAGATGCCACATCCTGGACACCGAGTCGATGGCTCAAGCGCGCACTAAAGAGCATTTCATAGTCCAGCATGAAGACCGTACCCCAGAATACCGCAATCTGGTAGGTTTTTCTACCACTGGAAAAGGGAGAAATTGTTGCAAACTAGCAGATATGTGATGGGCAATTTGAGAGGCGTAGTGAGGATACCTTATTTAATCCTAGAGTTGTTATTGAGTGGTATCTGAAGTGTTCTGACTTGAGTACTCGTGCAAACATTGACAAGGATGTGATTGTAGAAGTTGAAGAGAGCAATGATCTCGTAGAGAAGGCTGTCCAGAAGGTTTGCCCAACCTAGGGGCGTAGACATGT